AGTAGCCTCAAAGTTTTAGCCACCATGAAGTAGAAAACTTTTTTTTTTTTAAGACATGCAGTGGTTGAAAGATGGTCAACCGGAGGCAGATGGGGAAGTCACGGAAGCACAGGCTGGCTCTGGCTTCATACTAGAGGACCCAGGATGAAGCTCAATGGGCTTCTGTTAAATTCTGAGCACTCAGGTTACTCAGCTTTGTATCTGAATATCTGTACCTAGGACAACTACAGAGAGGAGGTGCTTAATAAATATCTGGTGACTCAATGAATAAATTCTAACAGGCTGTCAACTTTGGAAGTAAAATATACTGGCTAACACATCTGCTGAATAAATGGCCTGCATTATTACAGATGCTCCCCCAGCCCAGACAGACACACTTTCAGCCTTCTGCAAATGGCTCCACTTTAGGATTTTGGACATTTGGTGCATTAGTTAACTGTGGCTGCTCTAACAAACTTGGTGGTTTAAAACAAGAGAACTCCGAAGTCAAAAATCACTAGGTGGAAATCAAGATCCTGCCTGGCAAGCACTCCCTCCAGAGGCTCTGGGGGAGAACACATTCCTTGCCTCTTCAGGCTTCCCGGCTGCCAGCATCCCTTGGCTGTGGCTTCATGACTCCACTCTTCAAGGCCGGCATCTTCAAACCTCCTTCTGTTCTGTCTTTGCATTGCCTCTTTGTGTGGGCAAAATCTCCCTCTGCCTCCCTTTTAAAAGAGATACATTTGATTGCATTTAGGACCCACCCAGATAATCTAGGATTATCTCTCTATCAAAATCCCTAACTTTTTAAGTTATTTATTTTGAGAGAGAGGAGCAGCAGAGAGAGAGAGAGAGAGCAAGAGAGAGAGAGAGCGGGAGAGAGAATCCCAAGCAGGCTCCACACTGTCAGGACAGAGTCCGATGGAGGGCTGGAACTCACGAAGCCTGAGATCATGACCAGAGCCCAACTCAGACGATTAACTGACTGAGCCACCCAGGTGCTCCCAAAAATCCTTAACTTAATCACATCTGTAAAGATCCTTTCTTCAAATAAGATAACATTTTCAGGTTCCAGGGAGTGCGGCCTGATGTCTTTGGGGGCCATTATTTAGCTGAGTATTACCAAATTGAGTATTACCAAAAGAATAGAGCAGGCAGCAGTGATTGTGAGAAACTTCAGACTGTCTCTATCGCTATGAGGATGCTTGCTGCCACATCTGCGTTATTTTGTTGTAATGCCTGCAGTTACGAATGGGATATTATTGACATTGCACAAGTACTCAAACCTTTGGATTTAAATTCAAATCTGAGCTGCCCAACAGCTGTCAGAATGGAACTGTCTATCTTGGGAGAGATCTACATTATCTGTGTTGAGAGGGGGAAAGTCTCCTTTCTCCTTATCATGGGGCCTTAGCTCTACCAACCACTCCACTTTGTTGTCAGGCCCAATCTGTGTGACGAAACCCACGAGGGAATTGGTGTACATGGATGAGGCTGGTTTGGGTAAAAGAGATATTGATGGGTCAAGGCCGAGTATTGGCAGGAGAGCTAGAATTGGAGCTTTGGATTTATTACCATTTTATTTACCACTCTGATGCTCAACACGTGGTTCTTGGGTCCCTAGAACACTGCCTGAGGTAGTTTTTGGGGCTGGCTCTAAACACGGTTTATTCCTGCTTCTTACCCACACACTGAGCTTCAAGTCTGCCATGAAACCAGTCTACAGGCTCCCCCTAACGCAGAGAGCTCCACCCCATATATGGCTGAGTTAAATCTTCATATGTGGCGGCGCCTGGGTGGCTTAGTCGGTTAAGCATCCGACTTTCGCTTACGTCATGATCTGGCGGTTCTGGTACATGGTGGCCAGAAGTTTTACTCACCATTACTTTTATACCGTCAATTCAAATTCCAATGCGGTGAAAAAGGCAATCTTAGAATTGTTATGAAAATAATTTGACCCCAAGGACACTTTGAGAGACTTTTGGGCAACCCCAGGGATCTACAAACCACACTTTGAGAACTGCGTTAAAGGATAAGGTTTTAACAGTATGTCAACAGCACTATCAATGGCAAGCTAAGATCCTCAGTCAGATGGAGGCAATGTAATTATGACTAACCCCAGAGTTAGTTTTGCAAAAATAATTAGTGAAGAGTTGAAGCAAATTGACCATCTATGCAACCATCATAGACATAATTCTAAACCACCAAGAAATCTTTGAGGCTAAAGGTAAGGTATGAACAAAGCATGAACAAATCTGAATGCCATGAATACAGTCAACAACCTGAAAGCAGGGCCATTTTTTGGGCAAGTGAGTAGAGAAACAGCATTGCACCTATCCTCAATTCCCTAGCCTCACAGGAATGAGGGAGCAGAGGAAACCATAGCAGGAGCAGCAGGAAGATGGAGGCAAATAGGTCATGGTGTGTCCTTGGACTGTTCCAAGATCCTGGGGCCAGCCTGCCTGGTTTTGAAGCTCTCTCTTGCCACTTGCCAGCACACAACCTTGGGCAAATTCTGGAACCACTATCTGTCTCAGTCTCCTCATGTCCAAGGTAACTATAATATTAGTGCTTTTCTCACATGATTGCTGTAAGAGGTACACGAGATGACGTACCCAAAGCACTGAGCATGGTGCCCAAAAAAATAGTACTCAGTACATATATCTTATTAAAAATAAGGAACAGGGGCGCCTAGGTGGCTTAGTCGGATGCATATATCTTATTAAAAATAAGGAACAGGGGCGCCTGGGTGGCTTAGTCGGTTAAGCGTCCGACTTTTGCTTAGGTCATGATCTCGCAGTTCGTGGGTTCGAGCCCCGCGTCGGGCTCTGTGCTGACTGCCAGCTCAGAGCCTGGAGCCTGTTTCAGTCTGTGACTCCCTCTCTCTCTGACCCTCCCCTGCTCACGCTGTCTCTCTCTCTCTCCTAGAAATAAATAAAACATTAAAAAAATTTTAAAAAAAAATAAGGAACATACTTCTGTACTGATTCAACTCTTCCCCACATGCATAAGTGCTTAATCAGCCCACTGTTTTGCCAGCATTAAGTGTTCAGTAGAAGTTACTTCCTCCTACCAGCGAGCCTGGGAAGCCTGTCTGGACCTGTCATTTCTTTTTTCTTTCTTTCTTTTTTTTAATTTATAGAACTCTTTTTTTTTAAGTTTATTTATTGGGGGTGGGGTAGAGAGAGAGAGAGAGCATACTCACATGCATGTGGGGAAGGGGCAGAGGGAGAAGGAGAGAATCCATGCTATCAGTGACAAGCCCCATGTGGGGCTCAAATCCATAAACCATGAGATCATGACCTGAGCCCCAGTCAAGAGTCAGAGGCTTAACTAACTGAGCCACCCAAGCATCCCATGTTAATTTATTCTTAATTAACTCTTAATTGCATTGTGAATCATTTTTTAACTTTGGCTTTTAAATTATTTTTAAACACAATACAACAGTAAAATTAAGTATTAACCTTCAAAAAAAAAAACCAAAGAGATCCTAGTCCTGGACTTGAAAATGCCTTGCATGTTTAACTCCACCCCCTGCTCATCCATTATCAGGACCCCTCTCCTCCAAGCTCTCCACACTCAGCCATAGTGAGGTTTGCTGAGTTCCCTGACTGGCTAGTTCTCGCCCGTCATAGGCTCTCACACCCTCCATTCCCCATGTCTGCCTGGATCCTCTGCTCTGACTCTGCCAGTCTGGTTAGGATTTCCTCCTGCAGATCTCTGCTCTATAGACCTGTCATTTCATCCCTGCTGCTCTGAGCGTCATGGCTCACTCACCAATGATTCACTGAGAAATCTGATGTTTAAATGTGAAAAAGTATACACAACATGCAAACTGTTATATAAAAATGGAAGTGCTTATTATATAGTGGAATTATGTTTCATGTTTTCTTACAATTGTTTCCTTGGTGCTGAAAACATGTTTGAAAACAAAAAGAATTGTTTTTAAAAATTAAAACTAGCAAAACATTTAAGCCACTGATAAAAATATCAACCATGCTTTTTTCTAGTAGGTCTCTATGGTAAGCAACATAATGCACCCCCCTCCAAAGGTATCCCCAGAACCTGGGTTATCCTGGTGGGTCCAATGTAGTCACAGGGTCCTTTAAAGTTGGAGAGGTGGGCAGAAGTCAGGCAGTGAGAAATGTGACTACAGGAGAAAGGCACAGAGAGCTGCGACACTGCTGGCTGTGGAGACAGAGGAAGGTGCCACGTGCCAAGGGATGTGGGCAGCATCCAAAAGCTAGAAAGGGCAAGGACACAGATTCTTCCCTAGAGTCCCCTGGAAAGAATGCAGCCTTGCAAACATCTTGAATTAGTGACACCCATTTATTTGGACTTCAGAATTACAGAAATGTAAGATAATAAAGTTATGTTGTTTAAACCACTAAGTTTACGGTAATTTGTTATGCAGCAAATAGAAAACGAAGATAGTCACAAAGGTCATCCGATCAGTGCCGGTATGCTTTGGTATACAAGCAAATAAGCAACCAGTCACCAGGGCGGGGACTAACAACTCCTGTGGCTTCAAGAAGCCCCCAGTGCAGCCTTGGCTGTTTAAATGCCACAAAATAAGAGAATGATCATTAACGGCAGTCCCGACCCCTGAAGATTTAGATTCAAAAGGCCTGGGACACAAGGATATCCATTTTTACTAGTGACTCTATTAGAAACTGATGGTGGTCCATGCATTGAGAGACATCCACTTCTGCTCATAAGGAGCTTATAATTTAGGTGCTGAGTAGGTATAATTCCAATACCTAATAGATAGATAAATATTCATACTTCCAAAGACAAGTTAACAGCCAGGGACGAGTGTACAAAGCTAGAAATGGCCTGGAACACATAAATCCTTCCATATGCTTTGTTAACAAAAACTAGCTGTAGTTAAGCCGGATGAGGCCTCTGCCAGCTCTCCGGCACAGCCGGTGCCCGCGGGCTCTGGTACAGAATCCTGGCAGCCCCACAGACCTCTCCCCCGTGGGCACAGACTGAAGTCAGAACCCTTCGTAGCCTCCCACCTGTCTCTCTTGTTTCCTTATGAGGTGGTGATGTGCTGGCCCAGGGTGTGTCATCTTCAAACTGAACCCAGTTGCTGATGGCCGAGGCCAGGTCGGGTGGCGGCTGCTTGGGGCTCCCAGGAGGGGAGGCTGCTTCAGAGATGAGGCCCAACTTTTCAGAGGAGTCATCCTGCTCCGAGTGGGAAAGTTCCTGAGAGCCTCCATGAACCACATGGTTCTCCCCGGAGGAGCTCTCAGACCGGTCTGAGTAAGAAGATGGTCCTGGGAGGTGGTCTTCGGTGCCCCCTGAAACAGAAGCCAGACCCTGCCATCAATCGTGTGAGCGAGGCCACTATTCAAAACTGTCTTGTGGAGGAAAAACCAAGGAGAGGTAAGGGGTGAGCACAATTCCGGTGGGTGAGGGTGAAGAAAGAGCTGTGCCCATCTGTCTCTATGCCCAAGGAGTGTTTCCTAATAATGTGTACAAAGGATAACCTCTGCATGTCCCCAGTTGGTACCCAGGCAGGCTGAGACTGAGTAAGACTGGAAGTCTCACTCACTATTCTGACCCCATGCCCTATTCCATTGCGTCCTGGGCACAAACAAAAATGTTTACAGAGGCCAAACTGAGTCGAATGAGAAAGGCAAAAGGCAACAGGGACTGGTAGAGACTTAGGCTGAACAAGAAAGCATCTGTCTGGACTGAACACATTCACATTCCAACTTTAACCTCTGTGCAGTCCAAACTCCACCTGTCTACAGACCGCCAGGTGCAAACTCTGTACCAGGACCAGCTAAATGCAGCCCAGAGGCTCCTCCCCTAGCTTTCTAGCACTTTATTGGTCCAGGAACACTCAACAGTCTTCAAAAAAATTTTTTTTCTTAAAGAGAACTATGTCCTAATTGTGGTGGTGGTTATACAAATCTATACATGTGTTAAAGTTTATCAACTGTGTACCAAAAGTAGTCAAGCTTTACGATATAAAAATCGTAAAGATTTCTAAAAATCAAAGAACTAATATAAAACTTTTTCTCTCATCATTACCCAAACAAACTAGTCCATCTGCATATAACCAAACCCTTTAGACTTGTGCAGCCCAACAGAAAGAAAAGGTGAACCACATATGTAATTTTAAATATTTTAGTAGCCACATTAAAAAAAAGTAAAAAGAGAGGTTAACTACTCTTACTAATATAAAATTCAACTCTGTACATTGAAAATGTACAATTCTAACATGTCGTTAATGTAGAAGTTATTAAAGAAATATTTTACTTTCACTAGGTCTTTGACATTCACTGTGGGTATTTTATACTTCAAATATATATTTTTTTAATTTTTTAATGTTTTTTAAAATTTATTTCTGAGAGAGAGAGAGAGAGATAGTGTGAGCAGGGGAGGGTCAGAGAGAGAGAGAGACACACAGAATCTGAAGCAGGCTGTAGGCTCTGAGCTAGCTGTTAGCACAGAGCCCGACGCGGGGCTCGAACCCACGAACCCTGAGATCATGACCTGAACCGAAGTCGGATGCTTAACCGACTGAGCCACCCAGGCACCCCAATACTTCAAATATATTTCAATTCAGACTCACTGCATTTCAAAGGCTCCAGAGCCACATGGCCCCATCCTGGAGAGCACACCTGTACACTCACACTTTCCAGACACCATAAGTGAAGCTGGGCTGATAGTAGTTGGTGGCAGTAGCTTCAGTGGAACAGAATCAGCTGATAAGGCTCTGCAAATATCTCCTGACCCCTACCTTGACCTTCATCCCTGAGCACCAGTTCCCTGGAAGTCATTTAGCCATATTTATCATGATCATGAATGACAATTAACTGAGTTCTCTCCATGTGCCAGGCGCTGGTCTAAGTCCTTTCCATATATTAATTCACTTAACCCTCACAGCCACCCTGAGGAAGCAACTGTGATTACCCCTACTGCTCAGATAAACTTACTGCTCAGAGAGGTTAAATAAACAATCTACCCAAGGGCACGTCACTTATTTGTGACAGAGCCAGGATTTGAGCCCAAGCAATCTGGTTCTAGCGCCTGTCACTCTCCACAACTATGCTTTAGAAACTGAGGAAATCCAAACTGCTGCTGGAAGTAACATCCTAAAAGGCCAAATATAAAGTAGTTTGTAAACACGAAGTTTATGCTCCTTGGAAGAAAGCAGCCAACACTTTTGCTGTTTCCAGCCCCTTTTGTTTGGGACTCTAAGGTTCCTAAAGTGCTTCCCCCAGGCTTCTAAGTGGGAGAATATGTACCTCAGGAAGGTGATACACTAGCTCTTTTTCACGTTATTAAGGTTCCCCCCCCCAAAGAATGATCAAGTAGAAGTCATTGTAAACAGTATGGATCTTTGCTAATCTTTTCACTTAAGAAATGAAAGTGCTCCTTACCCTCAGAAGGGACAGGGAAGAGCGATTCCTCGTTGAAGGAGACCCACTCTGACTGGTGGGTAGCAATCACATGGTCCAAGGTCGTCATGCTAGGAAGGCACTGGTCATCTTCACACTGACAGCCTCAGGTAGACCCCAGAGTAATGTCTGGGGTGGGGTTTGGTGGCACGCGGGACTTGGGCCTCAGCTGTTATGAGGGTTTTGTACAGAGCAGCACGCAGAACACAGGTAGATTGGTCCCTTCTTGTCTTTGGCTACTCTGCCAAGAAGAAATCTGTTTTAAAAAATAATAAAAGTTAAAAAGGACAACGATCACCTTATATCCAATCCACACAGGTCCAGGGTTTTCAACATTGCCCACAGGGGGGTCTGGGGAGTTTGCAACTTGTATTCCTTCTCTCTGCCCTGTATTGTCCCCACTTCTTGTACAAGTAAAACCTTGGTTTGAGAGTATAATTTGTTCCAGAAACATGGTTGTATTCCAAAGAACTTGTCTATCAAAGTGAAATTCAAGAACCATTGGCTCAGATGTGATCATGTGATGTTTGGCATCACATACTACTTGTATTAAATCACTTGTTTATCAAGTTAAAATTTATTAGAAATGTTTCCTTGCCTTGCAGAACACTCGCAGAACAAGTTACTCACAATCCAAGATTTTACTGTATCTGCCTTTAGCATCAAGATCTCTGTACATGACTTCACATCAGACTTGTAAATAATCATGCAAATTTTAATAATCAGATTCCCAAATTTCCCCAATTATTATATTTTGGAAATAGTTCTATTTATAATATAATACCATTATGGTAAAACAAAAATTAAAACTTTTCAAAGTACTTTCACTTTCTTTTACCAGACGGCTAAATAAAAGCTTGTTCTTTCCTAGTAAGTCAGTGCAGTTTCTTGCCTTAGGCAGGTAGCTTTTTGCAAGCCTGATTTAAATTCTTGGCAGAAACCCAACCACCTCCAGATGGAACTTCCAAGCACGGTTTGCCAATCAAGAAAACCAGAAATGGAGTCATCTTTTTCATTTGGAGTAAAGGGGGAGGGAATATTTGCTTTAGTGAAAAATGTGAGTTAAAGAAACATATTTTCAATCTAGCCCATTTTCGATCTACTATGAAATAGCACATAAAAGCCTAGCCTTTACTCACACTGCAACTACGTTCTATGTATATAGGATACTTAATAGACTTACAATTCTGTTTGTACTATTAATGTCCATTTACAACTTGAACCTAGCTCTTGCTCTTATAATAAATTAATAAAATCTGAATTAATGCAAAATTAATGTGTTTCCACAAAAGAGCTACCATCTGCCCTGAACACTATCAGCTCTTATTAATGGAGTGCTCACAATATTGATTTTAGTCTAGAATAATTTAACTCATAGTCTTGTGACTGGTGTATAATAAAAAGAACATGTTGTGGAAATTTTAGTGTAGATTATTATCTGCTGTAAATCATCTATGCTGGGCTTAATCTGAATAGAAATATGTAATAGTTTTTGCCTTTTTTGGTAACTAAAACAGTTTTGCTGTACAATACTCCCTAAAAATAACTGCTTGCAGACATTTATAATTTTCATAAACATATTTTCATACCATACCTCATTTGATTTGATAACCATTTTAGTTGAGTAAGACATGTAACTATAATTCCTTTACAAATGAAGAAATTTGGGGTGAGAGGAGTGATTTATCTAACACTTTCATTGTTTCCAGGCCCTTGTTTGGTGCCCTAAGAGATTTCCTCCAGGATTCCAAGTGGAAGACTTCACACATCCCAGAACAGTGACAAGTGGACTCTTTTTTTCCTCCATGATAAGATCCCACCCACTGAATGATCAACTAGAGGCCACAACAAGCAGGTGTGTTAGATGCACCAAGCTATCAATGACACCCTTAAACCTAGGTCTTCTGGTGTCAAAACACTCTGATCTTTGGGTCACAGCCACAAAAATAGTACTGGAATATACTCAGACTATCACCCAACTAAAGCACTTTACATCAATTACAATGGAACCATAATGAAACGATCAGTGGAACTCCCCATCTGCCAGGGCATCCCAGCTGAACAGAGAATGGAAAGCCTGGAAATATCTCTTCTAAGTCCCTTTCCCAAGATTTTTACCAACCACAAGACCAGGTGTGTGCAAACAGGCTGGAGAGTGCAATGCTCCAAACCCAGATTTCACCAGAAAACCACACAGAAGCCCAAAGACCCTAAGAGCTGACGCCAGCGGGCTTCTCCCATAAAGCCTTTCTCAAGTGCCATCAGACATCAGCGTCACTCAGTATGGTAATGGCTGCAGGCCACGATAAGACAGCAAAATTGAAGAGTCAGACTCCTCCACTCCCAACAACAGCAGTATGTAAACCAGATCCAACAGCAACAAAAAAGCCACAATACAAATTCATGTGCTGACATATGCAGCATCATAGCTCAATGGTGAAAACATCCTCCTGATCCCGTGATGATGAATCCAGCAGAATTCACAGATGAGTGTGGGTGGGGGATGGGACAAGGGAAGAGGAGAAGGAAAAGGGTGAGGGTAATGGGAAAAAATACCTAGAAATTGTAGAGCTCAAAGGTTTTAAAGACCAACAGTCCAGCTCTCAAGTTCACAAATGAGTCAACTGAGGTCCAATGAAATCAAATGCAGCAACAGAGAATGAGAGCATGGGCCTGGGATTTGAATCCTCTACAGCCTTTACGACTCATTTAACCCCTGTACATTAGGAATAACAAAACTCACTTCATAATTTTAAAGATTAAGAGAGATAATACATACTGAGTGCTTAGTACTGGGAGTAAGGAACCCTCTGTAACAATGAGAATGCTGATAGCAGGTAACCTTACAGAGGGCTTACTATAAGCCTTCCAGGTCCCATTCCAGACACCTTATAAATGTCAGCCCTAACCACTGCTGTTGTTAAATTACTTGCCAGAAGTTACACAGCTCGTTAGTGGAAGTCTTGGGACTAGAATGCAAATTCATGAAACCATCCCTTTCTGTCATTTACACATTCTGGCTTTAGTCATTTCTCTTTTCAATCATTTTTAGAGCAGTTCTCCCAGATGTTAAGTAGAGTCAAGCACTCAACCTCCTTTTTAGAGATACAAGCACACTTTGGCTGAGGATCCAAGAACACTACTCAAAAAGTACGAATGAAAGAAGAGTCCCAAAGATTTATCTACCCTTCCTTAGCTTGTCCATCTCAGATCCAGATATGGGCTGGTTATAGACAATAAGCAGTCACAAGAAAGCCTGGTGGAACAAATTTGTTACAGGGAACCCTTTATCATAACCCAGTGAAATGGATTCTAGGTATCTGTCATGAAACAGCCACATCTAATAACTCATGAGATGCCAGACCTTGCAAGGTGCTGTGCTAGCAGCTGGAAACCACAAAGGAACCCAATAATTGTGAGGCTAAGTTGACACTGGTATTGGTTTCTCTATAAAAACCTCACCCCATTTTTAGAATATGAATCATAAAGTTAGGCTGCAAATCACCACAAATGGGTAGTGACTCAGTATCGGCAGCAGGATTGACCAAGAGACACTACAAGTTTCATTGCAGTGTCTGGCTTCCACTTCAGAAAGCAGTTTCTTTCCCAGCATCCCTTATATACTAAAATCCAGGGGTGGTGAACAGTTAGCTGATAAGGTCGGAGTCACAGAAGTAGATCTGTCTTGTGCCGATCCTCTGATACACACTTGTGAGTCCTATGTGTTTGGAAATGTACTAAGCACCCTTTGAGATAGTGACCTGCAAGGAGCTCGCAATCTAGCTGGGGACACATAAGAGCAAACACAACAAATCCAGGAATAATCCTGCTGGAGGACACACCAAAAATGCTGTTTAGCCATTGAGAGATCTGTAAGGGCTGGAGCCATAAAGAACTGGGCCGATTTCTTGGATATGAAGAACATCCTTGGTTCTGGGCCACCAGAACGGAGAAGTAAGGATATCTGAGGGCATCCTTGGGACAGAGGATCAGCATTAAGCGAAGTTAAGAGTCAGACCTTTGTGGGCTTGTTTCTAGGCAGGTGAAGAGGTCAGTCCGATGAGAGCTGAGGTGTTTACTGGGGAAATGGGAGAGAGAATTGGTAGCCTTAACAGCTGAGGAGAAGAGTTCAGTGGGAAATGGTAAGCTGCCAAAGGCTTGGGTGGAGAGTGACTGAAGAAATATCCCTATAGGAGATGAATGCTCCTTGGACAACACCTAACAAGGAGCCTGGAGACAAAAGCTATTGGTCACAACAGGATCTCGGTGTGCCTGGCAAAGTCAGGGGGCAACATCATCAGAAACATGTACTGAGTTCTCTGTGTTGGGCCCATTTTAGGGCCTGAAAGTACAAGGAAAAACAAGAACTGACCTCAAGTAGCTCACAGCAGATGTCAGGGGGTATACTGACAACACAAAACAATAACACAGTAGGCTCTCTAACCTATTATGACAGGTGATCCCTCAAAACAACGACAGCAGAGCATATAGGTGTTAAAAGACTACTGAGTAGGTGGTCGTGAGGTACACCTTAAAATGGAAGGGAGGGAGCAAAAGAGCAGAGGGGCAAAGGCATTTTAGGAAGGGGGAACAGGACTGGTATGTCTAGTGGACAGTGAGTTACATTCTGTTTACAGTAGGAGATGGTAGGAGTGGTGCTGAGTCCACACGAAAAGGAGGGGCTGGAAGAGAGACAGCTCTCAATTTCAGAATGAGTTTGAACATGTGAAACTACTCTTCCCATTCCCACTGCCAGTGCCTTGATTCAGCCCCTTATTGTCTCTCATCCAGATAATCACCAGTCTCTTACCTGTCTCCCTGCCTTCATGGTCACACCCCTCCAACCTATTACCCAATGCATTATGCCAGAGTGCTTTTCTTAAGCCTGAAATGCCCATGGCATGACTCTGCTTACAATCTCCTCAATGGCCCTCATAGCCAGACTCCTTCCCTCCTTATGTTAGGCAGAGTTGGTTTCTTGGCTGCTTACAAGCAAGAACTCTGATCTATGGTACCCTTCTCTGACTCCCACTAATTCCACTTGTCCCTTATCTTCTATGTGTTGATGGTATCTTACTTATACTAATTTACCAAATTATA